AGTTCCTCTCTAAATGTCTTGTAGAATTCAGCAGTGAAGCCATCAGGACCCAGGCTTTTCTTAGTTGATAAGTTTTTATTACATTTTCAATTTCATTGATCGATATTGGGTCATTTAGAATTTTTAGGTCTTCTTTGTTCAACTTTGGTAATTCATACTTATCTAGGAATCTGTCCATTTCTTCTGTGTTTTCCATCTCACTGGCATAGAGGTTCTTGAAGTAGGTATTGATGACCCTCTGGATTTCTGCTGGGTCTGTTGTAACTTCACCCTTTTCATTTCTAATTGCATGGATTTGGGCCTTTTCTTTCCTTTTGCTGATAAGGTTGTCTAAGGGTTTGTCAATTTTGTTTATTCTTTCAAAGAACCAACTCTTGGCTTCGTTGATTTTTTTGTATCATTCTCTTAGTCTCCATTGCATTGATTTCTGCCCTGATCTTTATAATTTCCTCCCTTGTATGAGCTTTGGGGTTGTCTTGCTCTTCTTTTTCTAGAAGCTTGATGTTCAGCATCAGGTTGTTTAATTGGGCTCGCTCTGTTTTCCTAATATGAGTATTCACTGCTATGAATTTCCTTCACAAAACTGCTTTCATTATGTCTCATAGATTCCAATATGTTGTATTGTCATTGTCATTTAATTGTAGGAACTGTCTGATTTCTACTTTAATTTCCTCTGTGACCTATTGGTTTTTCAGAAGTATGTTGTTCAATTTCCATGTGTTTATGAAGTTCTTGCGGTTTCTTTTGCTATTGATTAATTTCATTGCACTATGGTCTGATAATATACAGGGGATAACTTCAATTCCTTTGCTCTTACTTAAACATGTTCTATGAGTATGTGTTCTATTTTGGAGAACGACCCATGTGCACCTGAAAGAGTGTGAATTCTGATTTTATGAGGTGGAAGACTCTGTAAACATCTGTTAAGTTCATTTGTTCAAGAGTTTGATTGAGTTCTAGTATTTCATTGCTAATTTTTTTGTCTAGTTGATCTATCTATTTGTGACAGTG